CATGGCTCTGGGAGTAGGTGGGACATGGTATTACATGGTGCCTCAGTATGCCATTGCCTGTGTGCTCCATTGGATATATGCTGATAAACTTCTTAAAATCACATAACCTGTCAGTACTGTAAGGATCACTATTTGCAGCATCAGCATCCTTTAATTATCCCCTGTGGCTGAAATAACTGACTTTGGGCTCCTCTATCACCCTTCTGAGCTTCTGGAGTACCAGCAAGTCCCCTTGTCGTATGGTGATGCTCCTTGGCAAATGAATCAAGGGTCAGAATGTAACAATATAATAAAGTGACACTGATAATTTTTATTTTTTTTTTAAACTTCAGGTGCTCAAGACTAATAATAGCTTTGTGCTACTCTGATGGTGTAAAAGCAATGCACAATTGAAGTGAAAGGATAAAATACCAATTATAAGAGGGGTCTTTAATGTCCTGTAAAATGTCAGTATGGGGACAGGGAAAGGCAAATAACCTTCCACAAATCGGCCACAAAGTGTGTGCAGAAAGTTTGGAGAGCATGTGAAAGTTTTGGAGAGGGACTTCCAAAGGGAAGGTTGAGTATTGTGATTTTTAATTACAGGGTGAGGGAGAGCTGGTGCAGATAGAGGAGCAGAGAACTGAGAAGTGACGGTCAAACTGCTGGCTTGTGAGGTACTGCTGAATGCTAACAGCCTACTGGGCTCTATGGGTTCTGCAGCTGTGTGACTTGCTCCATCCACCGCTTTGTGCAAGTATGAATGCATAAAACCTGGAGAGAGCAAAACTCTGTGCTTTATTTCCTGTTGCAGTATTCAGGCAGGACCTCTGAGTTGTAGTGACCGTTTCCTGGGTTTGGCAGACTGCTTCTTGATGCATAATCTTTCCTCCTGTATTTGAGATCAACCAGGACAGACTAATCCCAAGATTAAGGCGGATCAGATGGAGGGCTGTTTCCACAGCAGATGCTGTCATATGAGTGCTGAGTTCCTCTTGTGATAGGGCAATGCAGATGGCAGGTCAAATCCTGTTTGTCTCCACTAATTGTCAACTCAGTCCTAGTTCCTTTTTCCTCTGCAGAAAACAAACCACACCAAGCATTCAATTAAGAGACCAAATCGGGTGAAATTCTAACCTCGGCTTGTGTTTATATATCTCGTGAATAATGATCTGCATGAAGGTTTGCCTTAGTTCATGTTTGATTTGTTGCGTAGCAGTTTGTGTGGTCCTGGAGCCAGCTCCAGCCTGCTGACTGCCCCATGGATTGCACTCTAGAGCTGCACACCCACAACTATGCTGGAAAAATGAGACACCAGATCTAAGAGCTACCCTCAAAAATGATGTAAGCAGGTCTAATGAGTAAGTCCTTTGACAGAAACTGATAACTACAGACACTGTTCTGTAAAATCACAGCAGTGTATTTCACTACCATCTTTCAATGAGGCTTTCTACTAAACAGAGGAAGCAAGGTTATCTATGAGGTAGAGCTGTAATTTCAATATTTAGATGGGAGCTCTTACTGACATGTCCTTCTGACACAAAAATGTAGTTACAGTTCCTATGACAACTGTCCCTCTCTCCTCTGGAGCACGGACTAATGATAGTGTTTCATTACGTGATCGTGTAACGCTGGGCACTGTGACAGCCTTGTCATCTCTGCTCTGGTGTTTGCTCCTAAATGGCATTTAGCTGAAGCCCACCTGTATTGTGCAGAACATGAAGTGGAGTGACTGCCCTTCACTGTGCTTACTGCCTGCCACCTCTGACTTCCCAGCTTCCTGCTTTTCATTAGTAAGCTCACTTTCTACCAAAATACATTTGGTAGGATGAATTTCACTGACAAAAATTTCTAGAAATTTATCTTGATGGTAGCAATTCTATACACTGTCTGACTAACATTAATTAAGAATAGTATCTTAACAAGCACAGACAGTACTAATCCCTATCAAAGCAGTCTGCTGACAAAAATTCATGAGTATAGCAGCCAAACTAGACTATGCAGCAGATTCCTGTAGTTACTTCTGCAATACACTTGAGAAAAATTCAAACAAGTTGAACAGATATATTAAAAGACTTTATTCACAATAGAGAAATTTTTACAAATATAAGTTCTTAAAAATTAAGCATCTTGATCTATTATGTATTCCATAATTTCAGTTTATATAAAGATGAAAAGACTAAATGGACTATGTACAAATCAAAAACAATTTAAATGCATGATAAAAGTGGATAAAATGTATGATGAAGTCACCATAGAAACAGTGAGCCACTGGGCATTGCAAAAAATCTGTGTACAACCAACACATATGCAGTACTTATCTCACAAACAATCAAAACATTTTTTCCCCCCATGAAACAATGTGGGTGCCATTTAAAATGATTTCTTAGGATTTAACATAAGCAGATTTAAATGCATGATTATGGTGCAAAGAAATGGAAAAAGTATAGGCAATGTGTTTATGCAAAGCTAATTCCCCCCCATAAAGCAAATTCTTTTGCTCTTATGAATGAGAACATGGAGTGACCATCACTAGCCACTTCCATGCAGCTAGTTCAGTGAATGGGAAATAAAACAGATGTTGTCTCAGCAATCTAACAAGCAATGGTAAGTACTGACTGCTTCAAAATGATGGCTCTAACTTTGGTGGTTTTGGGGTTATTAAAAAAAAAAAAAAGGAACAAAAAAATCAATATATTCTCAGTTTATGAAAAGGTTTTTTCTTACAGTTGGCAGATCTACACGTTGTACAATCTTCTCGTCTACTTACATTAGTTTACAAAAAGTACAGTATAGTGCAGTTTGTACATACAACCTGAATACCAATATCAGTCACATCAAACTTGTGCTCTTTCAAATCATCATAACTTCCAAACTAAAAAAAACCCAACAACCAAAAAACCCCCCAAAATCTCATACTAAATGTCTGTATGACAAGGAAACAGTCATGATGCTTATATTTAAGTACACAGGACCCACTGTGTGTATGTAGCCTGCTTTTTGAAACATGGAGAAGAGCCATCTGGTCTTCCACTGTTTCTCTTCAGCTTTTTAAGTAAAGGCAAGGTCAGTAGCCACACCTAGGGGAAGCATACTGTGGTTAAGAAAACCATGTAAAAAGGCTTACAAACCACATTTCTCAAAGGCTGTTTTTGTTTGAGCTATGGTAGTTATTTAACTGATATGAGGCCTATTGCAGCACATGCATAACCATGTGGTAGGCAGCAGCAGATGACCCAATAAAAATAACTAAGACTAAAGTAGTTATTATTACTTTTCTGGTTAAAGAGGGAAGAGAGTTTTTGGTTTTATTCCACAGTTATAGTTTTTCTGTGGTACTGGGGGGGGGGAGGGGAAGTTCCCTTATAAATACAATTTCTGAAGAAATACAATGAAATATTGTAGTCATCTAGCAATACAAATTCTGGAATACCAAAAATGGCAGGAGTTCTGCTTTTCAACAGAGGAGAGCCAAGACTTCATTCTTGCTAATTCAATTTCAGAAAACTGTTACTGTGACATGAGGGAATCCATGCTTAAAAAAATAAAAACCCAGATACCCCCAACAAAAACAAACCTAGAAAGTAATAATAATAAAAAAAGGCAGTAAAGCAAAAAGTCTTGAGCTCATGTGTTGGTTCCATGCAAACAGGCTTTGTCTGAGACAGATGCACATACATCTGGATCCGTTCTCCCAGTGCTGGGTTACCCCTATTACTTTCTATTTTAGGAAGAAATTTTTTTCCTGTGAAGGTGGTCAGACACTGGAACAGGTTGCCCAAGGAAGTTGTGGATGCCCCCTCCCTGGAAGTGTTTAAGGCCAGGCTGGATGAATCTCTGAGCAACCTGGTCTAGCGGAAGGGGTCCCTGTTCATGGCAGGGGGGGTTGGAACTAGATGATCTTTAAAGTCCCTTCCAACCCACACCATTCTATGCTTAACTTCCATGCACAGCTCTGCCAGTCCTGCAATGGAAGGATCAGTATCACTGAAGATCCTCTTGCCTTGTCCCATACATAAATGCCTTTGGCATCTTCTTGCTATCTATCTATCTTCTCTATCTGCAGGGGAACCAGAGAGGCAGTGCTGTCTCTACAGACTCCAGAAGGTCAAATGTATGGGTCAGCCTCCAGCTGCTATATATAAAAATGTAATCAGTTATCTTTGCTCTTGGATTCTACCTAAGAAAATGTACATTGCAGACCTCTATCAGTATAAAAATTACTCTGTAATGCCTAAACAAACAAATGTGCTTCCTCAGCTGTGATTAGCTATGCTGGACATGTGAGCTATCTTACTAAATACATTTAAAGAAGATTATGTTGAGAACTGTGTTTGTTTTGCTGCAGTCCAATCGGTGAATAATGTGCTTCCCATAATGAATGGGAAGTCAGGTGCTATACCCTACTCAAAACGTATGAAAGTCATCCTGTCACTAAATAAAAACATAGGTAGACTTAATAATCATGTAAACCATTCCAAACTACACTGAAGTAGAAACAGGAATTACTTGCGCCTTTTTTTTCCTCTTTTATTTATTTATTTCCCCCGCCTTTGGTGACACCACAAAGTAAAATATTTTAGGCAAAGCTATTACCTTTCTCAGCAAGCCAGGGCTCTAATCTAGGGAATATTTTTAAGCACACTGCATTTCTGTCACTTGGAGAAGATAGATTGGTGCTTTCAGAAGGTCTTAGTTCTATGCTGGATAATTTCCTCCCTAAATTATTATCTTCTTTTAAGGAGAAAAGTTTCTTTCAAGGCACCTGAACATCTAGTATTATTCAGGTAAATACATTAAATTGCCTTGTGATAATAAACTGTCAAGTCTAAACCTGAATGTTTGAGGAAGTCACAGAAAACCAAACAAATTGTCTCTGGTATAATTCTCAGCTCAGCTTTCAGGAAAATGTAATCAGGTATTATTGTTTTGTCTTTTTTACCATCCGACCAAGTGAAAGCTACTGGACTAAATATATAAAGAAGGTAAGACTCCCTTTTTTAATAAGAAATTACTATCTTATTTTACTCCATAGTAGCCTGACTAAAGACATGAGAATAACACCATGTAGAAAAGGAAGGAAACAATTCATTCTATTACAATACTCTAATAAAAAAAACCTGAAAAACTACAGACTGCTAACTAATGTGCTAAAATCATAAAATCTAAGTTTAGACTAACTTTAATGCATACTGCAGTTTCAGAGTTGTGTCTGCATGAGATGAAAATATTCCTATGTAGACTTCATTGACAATGAAATACATCAGATACTTTACCAAATAATGATAGACCCGCATAAGAAGAGGCTGTCACAGTCACAAGATTTGTCTTGGATGACACACAAAAATTAACATATAAAACAAATTAACATAGAACAAAAAAAATAAAAGAAAAAAGCTCTTATACTTCAATATGGCTTTTTGCAACATGGCAAAATATTACAGCTTAAAGCAGACATCTCCTCACAGAGGAGAGAAGAATTTTGCAGTCAAATTAAAAGCATAACAGGAAACGAGTAACATGCAGACCCTCTGCTCTTTTTGGCCAAGATGACACTGCAACCTAACAAAATCTGGAGAGATGTCCTATTTCTCTTATAAGAAGTGGTTCAGGTGGATAAAGAGGAATGAAATTTTACCATAATCAGTTGGAGTCCATTCATAAATATTTACTGTTAAAGGAAACAGACTGCAAAACACTTGATTTAAAAATTTAACTCAGGAATTTAAAAGCAAATCATGTGCCCAAGTCCTGGAAAAAAACATAAGGAATGAAACAAAATATAACTTAATCTTCATCTATTTCTGGTTTTCTTCTTTATTCCCATCCTCTTTGTGAAGAACAGGGAGAGGATGAGCTTCTGTGTTGAAGACCCAGTGTTCAAATGGAAGAAGATCATCTTCAGAAAACAGCAAATATAGGTACCTGGCAAGAAAACAAGCAGGAAATGTGACCACATCAGGGAGGGGAAACTAGAGTGGTTTTCAGGAAAACATAAATACCTGATTTCCCTGAATGAATGTATCAATGGAAACAGCTGACCAAACACAAAACACCCGTAAGTCCCAGGATTACAATGGTTTGCACTAAGCTTTGGGGCTACTCAACTCAGATGGGACTTAAGGGCAATAGCAACTGGAGACCAACATGTAAGTCCCAGGATTACAATGGTTTGCACTACTCAACTCAGATGGGACTTAAGGGCAATAGCAACTGGAGACCAACAAAAGAACGCCTCTATCCTGATAGAGGACAAAGAAGTTTATGCTATCAAGGTTAAACAACAGTTCACTTCACTTCCATTTCATCCTCTATAATTTTATTACATATTGTTTTGGTAATATACAACCATAGTATTTTTTTTTCATCCCAAATATCCACATATATCAAGGTGTAGGAATGAAAACACCGTAGTCCAATCCTGTCTTACTTCTGAGAACAATGTGTGGCTTAGGATTTTTAAAGAAGAAAACTAGCAGGAGCTTGGCCAGCCATTTACTAAGATAAGGTTCATTAAAACCAGTAGTTAACGATAAACAAATCCAATGTTTTAATTTTTCGTCTTGATACAAGGTAGTAGCTACTGTAGCATGATTATTGAAGTCTGCTTAGCAAATAAAATTTTATTTTTTTGAAATCACCATCCTTTCCTTAAGGGTTTTCTTGGTCTAATTCTGATAGGCCAATGTAAAAAGTATAGTAGAGGCTGTACACTATCTCAAAAAAAAAAAAAAGGATGTACATAAATGTATATATGACTTTTCATTTACTCGAGTATTATACTTTCTGTTGAACTAGCATGACTGCTTCTTTCTGATCTTTGACACTTTCTCTTGCACAGCAAAAAAAGTCATGAGATGAAGACAAAACTTCCTTTATTTCATTAAAAACTTAGGAGATGGTGATAGATAATGAATGCTTTTGGTTTTCCTCTTAGCAGGCTGTTGTGAGCTTACCATGCAAGTTTTTTTCTTTGTAGTTTTAAAATGAAAACAATGCAATACAAGCCTGGTAAGTCCTCTGTCTACTCAATTTGTTTCACTAGTTGTCCTGGTTTTGCTAGGATAGAGTTAATTTTCTTCTTTCTTAGTAGCTAGAATAGCTGTGTTTTGGTTTCAGTGTGGGGTTTGTTATGAGAAGAATGTTGATAAGGTACTAATGTTTTTAGTCACTGCTGGAAGTCAAAGGACATCATGTTTGGGTAGTTTGGAAGTACAAAGGACTGGGAGGGGGAAACACGGTAATTAGCAAACCCCCAAAATGACATCTGGATGTGCCAGTGAGATATTCCATATCATATCATGTCATGTTCAGTATATTAATGAGGGCTGACTGGAAAGCTAGGGGTTTCTCTCAGGAATCACTTGGGCTCGGTCTTCCGGGATTGCAGTTTTGGGTTCAGGGTGCCTTTTTGCTCCACTGGGATTGCTACTGGCAGGTGGTGAGCAATTGTGCTGTGCATCATTCGTTTATATATATTATCATTATCATTACTATTTTAAGTTTATTTTACGCCAATTATTAAATTGTTCTTATCTCAACCTATGAGTCTCCTTACCTTTACCCCTCCAGCTCTCTCCCCTATTCCCTGGGTGGGGGGTGAGGGATGTGGGGGGGGTGCAAGCAGCTGTGTGGTGTTTGGCTGCTAGCCAAGTTAAACTACTACATTAGTGATGGCATATATAATTAGATCTTATCAAAGCGAGGAGATGTAATTGCTCAACAAAGACTACCAAGTACCTTTATCAGAAGTAAAGGCAATTTCTAAAAGTCATAGCATTTAGTTTGATACAGAAAGAAAAAAAAAAAAGCTCCCCATCATCTAAGAAAAGCTCTACTTTATCAGTCAGATTTTGTTATGTGAATGTGGAGGGTACTAATGATAAATATTTATCTCTAAAGATGATACACAGAACTACTTCATATTAATGAAATTCAACTTTCTTAACTTACTTGAGTGTCTCTGAAAGGAAGAAACTTTGCTGCACATCATCATGGCTTTCATGATTGTTATAAACATCTCTAATGCCAGAATAGCCACCGTCTACTCTGCAATGTTTTTCCAGTGCCTGAAGAGGGGGGAAAAAAACACCAGTGGGGTTAACAGAATGAATAATCTGTCAGTTTTTCTTGGTTTGACAATAAAACTAGCAAAAAAAAGTCACTATTTTTTTGATAAAGAGATGAAAACTAGATAGAGCTCTAGATAGAAAACTTTTTAAAAAGACATAGGCACATGTCTAATTTTACATTTAGGAAGAGAAGCAAAATTATAAATTAATAAAAAGTGAACACAAATCAGTTTTCAGAAGGAAAGACATGGATGGAAAGATATATGTATTTTCACTTATTTTCCTTTTCCTCTTTTTAATAGGAATAACAATAGCCTCTCTCTCATAGGCTTGTCTATCAGCCTTCAGAGATTATGTCACATATACCTTTCTTTTTCATATTTTAGTGCTTAAAAATTATTGTGATAGAATGAGTATCACGATAAAGACCAGTCTTTTCCTTATCTCCTGTAAGTCACTTCGAAAAAGGGAAGTCAACTCTCCATTTTTCTATGTAAGTTGTTTGATTTCTCTTTGCAATTATTTCATTTTTCAATGGGAAACCTCTGATACTGGGCTGTGACTGAATTTCTTTTCTGCAGTAGGCACTATTTTTCTTTGATACCTTTCTGAAAAAGCTTTGTGTGTTACACAGGAGTAGATGGAAAGCTAGGATGTGGCTGGACTCAACGCAGTATGTTTTAGATGTAAGAATGTGTTTTTCTCTAACTAGTTTCCAAACTGTGTATTCAGTTAAAAGGTATAAAACAAATAACTGATTCCTATTTTACAATAAAAAGGAGCACAGGGACCACCTAAAAATATAATTTCTTTCTGACCACAGGCATGTTCTGTATGATCAGCTTATTTTGAAGGAGAAAAAAGATCAGATGGAAGGTGTATACAGAAGGGAAAAAACCATGTACCTGATGCTGGAAGTGTAGAAGGTATATACAGATATACTATTTAATAAACTTTGCTGCTTTGCTTTATTTTAGACAGGCGTTTGCATTAGAAAGTTGGTACCCCTATATGAGCCATAACGTCTTTAAATAGACTGCTATCCAATACTTTATTTGAGTATTAGTTCTCTTAAACACTTTTAAAATATTAATTCATCTTTTTTCTTGATAATTGACCTATTTAACAAGGTCAAAAGTATTCTTAGCCTCTTCATTTTTCTTATTCTGTTTTATAATAACTCTCTGGTATCATGCAGTATAATAAATTTTAGGATCATAGAATGTCTTGGGTTGGAAAGGACCTTAAAGATCACCTAGTTCCAACCCCCCTGCTGTGGACAGGGTTGCCAACCAATAGATCAGGCTGCCCAGGGCCCCATCCAATCTTCAACAAAGGAGTGAGGAGATTCTAAGATGATTATATTTAAAACAACTCATTATTCAAAAACAAATCCACAGACTCACAGAATGTTGGGGACTGGAAGGGACCTCGAAAGATCATCTAGTCCAATCCCCCTGCTGGAGCAGGAAATACTCTTTGGCCTTAAGTAACTTCTCACAGTGAAAATGACAGTAAACATGATGGATTACTACATTTACTCAGGGCCACACTACTCTGAAACATGGTGCTTGCTGTGGAGACAGGTATTGGAACAATAACTTCCAGACAAAAATACCTGGAGCTTTATCAAACCCCCGACAGAGAGATGGAAGACAACCAGTTCCTCTATATGTGAAGTTACTACAAATGTCACTAGAGTGATTACAGGATATGTAGATTTTATTTAGGGAAAAAAAAAATGCTGCTTTTCAAACCACATACTGCAAAAAGCTATGAAAAAGCAGAAGATATGTCTATACAAGCAAACAGGGAGAATAAGCATTTTCTGATGAGAAATGGGAATAAAAGTCACTAATAATTACTGAGGTATCCATCGCCTCCCCTTGCACTAAAGGCTGTTCAAGATCTGTGTTTTGCTGTGAGTAGATATCCTAAACGTCCTTGTTTTTGCTGGAGTCCCTGTAGCTATCTGCATGTATTTAGCTTGCATGTCAGGCTCTCCGTAGTTTTCACTGGAGAGTAAGCTGCCTATTGTATATTTAAAAGAGATTTTTCTCCAGGAGAGATCCTTTAAAATATAACAGGCCTATTTGTCTTTCCTTACGTGTCTTTAGGTTCTTTAATTTTCCTGGACACTTTTACTAAGTGACAAATATACTTAAGTGTAAACAAGTAATTTCCCCTGGCTGGTTACTCCTTCCCTCTCATCTACTTCAACCTGCAATGAATTCAAAATGCTGAATCTGTGTCTGGATTTTCAATGTCAAACACAAGATTATGTTTTCCAAAGCACAGCAGAAGAACTTGAAGGATAAGGCTATTATTAAAAGGAACATCTGCATTCTAAACAGGGCGAGGTAAAATAAAAGCAAATTGCATCGGGGGTTTATGTGCTCTAACATGTAGTTAGAGCCTTCTTTATTAATTCATTGTAGGGAGATACTGTACAGGCACCTGAATACGCTGCTGTGGTGGAAACGAAGAGGTTAATTTGCTCCATGTTAGCCATCTGGTGGTATCTACTCGATGCAAATGTGAAGTATCTTACCTCTCAAAGCTACTTTCCACTTAACTAAAGAAACAGGATGTTTACATGCAGCATTAGTAGGATTAAAAGGCTCTGGGTCCTCACCCTCCTTTAACTGGCAGTAATGGCCTTTTGTGCCCATACCTGCAGTTTCAGAGTACAGTGATGTTCACACTGACAGTGGGGTAGTGGTGGGTGGGAAGAAACAATCAAACACATTTTAAATTAGTATTTCTCAGAAAAATGAGGGTGGCTAAGATCAGTTACGCTACAGTAATGGAAAACATCAAGGGGAGTGAAAACTGTCTGACAGTCTCAAAGTATCATAAAGGGAAAAAACAAAGGAAGTACTGTGAATTCTAAATATGTGCTGCATTTATAATGCAGAAAGGGAGACTTTCAAGAGCTAAGCTGAGAAAACCTTTCTGACTCAGTAACAGGGGATATTGCTGTTGGTCATAACTGCATTTTCTCCAGCTGCTGAAGTACACAAAGAATAATCTTGGACTCAAATTAAAGCAGCAAAGCAAGTTTCCAAAGAAAAAATGGAGAGGCTAGAGCATGTTTTTAGTCTATTAAAGTTAGAGAAAGAATTGATAGACTTGTTGGAGAGTTTAGAAGTTGTGACCTGTAGAGCAACCTCCTTTTCAATGACAAAGGTACTGGGAAACAAACCTAATGAGTTATTGCCAGTGTCATGAATTGAAAATCAACATGAAACACCTGAACAACAACTTTTTTAGGCAACAACAAATGGTCTGATTGTTCCCCCATTTTTCTTGTTTCAAGAAGCTTCCTCTTTGTGCCACGTGTTGGTAATTAAACCAGCCATAGTCAGTGGTCAGGGACTTCCCCAAGAACAAAAGGGTGGAGTGATGTGCTCTCTGGTGCAAGAAGGAGCAGAATTTATGAAATGGTTGTAGGAAGCTATCATGACACGTGCTGGAACAAAAAAATACAGTATCAGGTGGAGCTGTATGGGCTATAAACATCAAGGAAGAAAAGAAAAAAAAAGAAAAAAAAAAGATTTGAAACCTACAACTGACTGTGTAACTTCTGTGAAGCTGTAAGATTTTTTTTCGTGAAACACTCAGATGCACATTAGGACAGTGGAAGATGGGTCTGTACAGATGAGACCAGCTGCATCTCCCATGAATGGGCTCTAATCCACTACATTAGAGCCAGAAGAGAGTAACCACAAGAATGTTAAACAAGGAACACATAGGGAGTACTAAGAAGGTAAACGAGTGTACGAACTTGAAATAAACACAAACAAACTGAACCAACAGGGTAAAGAATAATAATAAGGAAAACATTTCAATTGCTTATAACAATGTTATCGGTGTGGGCAGCAACAATGAGTCGGGAAAAACATCTCCTGGAGAAGGAACACTTGGCATTGCTGAAGCCTGGTGGGATGACTTCCATAAACAGCCATTGTAAATGTTCCAATTATAATCTGCCTGGGAAGATTCCAGTAGTAAAATGTGTGCCTATGGGTGGTGTTAGCAAAGAAGAAAGTAAAGGGAACAGCACTCTAAATTAGAGGGTTTTTTTAAAAAAAATTGTTTTGGAATCATTAACTCAGAAGCATATTGTTTCAGGGCCAATAAAATCAACACCTGAGGGAGGCAAATAAAATGCCCTAAATAACTATAGTCTACCTAGCTGAATACAGTGTTGACTGCAGATATGGAATTGCTGTGAATATTCAAACAAGGAGGAGTTAGAGAGTAGAAGTATAGTTAATGCTAGCAGCTATTCTTTTATAGAAAGCAGATTTTACTATAAATTTAATTCTTCAAGAATATCTAATCACCAAACTTGAAACACACTTTTTCACAGCACTTGCACAACATTTGAGATACATTCAATATCTCACACAGTGGATACTGAATACAATTACACATCTTGTTTGCTGTTGAGGGAGTCAGGTAACTGGTGGCTGAGGCAGCCAGGTACATGGAGTCATAACCCAGTAATAACTCTCTAGTAGGGTCCCTCAGGGATGAGAAATTGCATGACACAAGTCTACAGGCTTTGCCCTTAGTATAGTGTAACCTTCTACAACTGGCAGTGTGGGCCCCTCCAAGAAAGTTATACACTCTTAGAAACAAGAGGTGTTGGACAAACTGACAAAGAGGATGTTTTTGAAATCCTGCAAAGTAGTAACTCTGCAAAGGAGAGGTCACTGTGAACAAAATGCTGCACAGAGGTTTTTTTGGTTTTGTTTTTGTTTTTTTTTTCCGTATACAGAGCCACAAAAATAATGTTCTTCAGCTTCCTCTGTCTCCTATAAGATCTCAGTCTGCTTAGAAATTCCAAAGGAACAGTGAAAGACAGAAAATTTAGCAAGGGCAACATCAATGTTAAGAGAAAATAAGTAAACTCTAGAAATAAGGACTCAATACCTGGAAGATGAAACATGGTAAATCCAAAGGCTCTCATCTCTAACAGTAAGTGATTAACTACTGAAATAAGAGAAACAATGGATTTGGCAAGCCAATTTTTGCAGTATAGACTAGCTACCCTCTTGGAAGGCCTGTGCTAGACAAACACGAATAGCTAGGTTCAACATGACTCATTGAAGCTCAAAGGCTAGTGGGACACAGAAATTTAAATCTAGAAGAGACTGTTACCATTAGTGGAGTTCAGTCCAGATGACCTATGCTTTTTGAAAGTGACCCATGTTTTAAATGTTTGGTACTGTCTGGTACTTCATCTTGACCTTCATCACCTTAATTAAAATCACCTTTGTAAAATTACTGTTGAAAATACACTTCATAAAACTTATTTCCGTGTTCAAGGCTCAAATTTGACACAAGTCTGCGCTTGCTGTTCACATGCAACAATACTCAACATCTTAAGCAGTATATCCAAATATGACCCTGATCTGAGAAATATTTAAGAAGGAGAAATCACAAGACGTTTTTCTAATAGACAATAGCAGCAGTATTTAGTTTTGTCAAAATGATCTTAATCTTAGTTCATCTATTTAGTAAATGAACCCCTAGAAATTTGAATTGATATTACTGACTTAAAGTAAGTGTTTACTCTCTAACTGTTAAACAATATCCAGATACCATTCAATAGCTCACTTAACAAGATATTAGAATTCAATAATTAAGAAGTCCCATAGAACATTACCTCTACAGCTTCCCATCCCCACTGCCTGTACTTTGGGTCATGAGTGAGTCGCCACATGTACATGTAGGTCTCTATGACTTCTGGTCGTAGGATGTAGTATTTTTCATTTTGTCTTGTAGCAATGGCCTCAACACCACCATCAAATCTGAAGGCTTCTGGTCCCAGTTTCATGCCTAGCCAATATAAAAACACATGCTAAAATAAAAGCATTAAAAAAAGTTTCAAATTACATAACCTACCAAATCAACTATCCTTTCATATGACACAAGCCAGGTTATCCAAAAGGTATATAATTTCTGAAAGATACTGCAGCACCTCCTGTTTTTAATATTTTGTACATAATTGACAGTAGGAGAGAGCTGTTCCTCATCAATGCCTTGAACAGCAGTTCCAGTTTGAACAGTGATGCTAACATTTGCATTCTGAAAAACTTCATATAACTAGAAATGTGAAATTTTGCTTAAAAGACAAGGATATTTGCTTTTCTATATCAAACTGGAAAATACACTCTGGGACCTGAAATGCTGCCAGGGTTATTTTTGTAAGAAGATGAAAGAATCCAAAGAAATTTCCTGTACAGAAATCCACTTTCTTTGTGCAATTCTATTTTTCGCAGCATTGTACCAACAGAACTGAGAATAAAATAAATTTTTGAGCTTAACGCATGATTAATAGCTATACTGACATATAAATTAACAGGTTTCCTCTCTTATTTGTATTAGGATATACAGAAATTGGCAAAGTGAAAAAAAAAAGCTGTCATGTTAATCACTACAGTGAATAGATATGATTCAGGTGCATAGAAATTATAAAACAGAGCAGCCGTTCTTAAAGTTACTCTTGGAGCAAAGTAGCATTTGCTCAGGAAGGATGAAGAGTTCTCACAACTTTCATGCAGCATTATGCAAAAATACCAATGGCTGCCTTCACAAAGTCAAACTGTGAAACTAAACTAAACTCTGTAATGCAGCACTTACTTGTACGGTCATAGGATTCATGGCACGTCCTCGCAATTTCAGCACCCAGCTCGATGTGATGGCCTGTCTTGTCATTAGGTGCTCCGTCTGCTCCAAGAGCAAACATGCCTCCAGCAAAACAAGTGAGATGTCCCATCTTGTGCTCAAGCAGTCCACCCTTCCACTCAGCAATGTACATCAGCCCCCCACTTGATTTGCGAATGAGGTGGGTCTCTATGGCCTGCAAAAGTACACGACTTCAAACCAAAGTCTTTGGTAAAGTGTGAAGGACAAAGACAGAGTTGTCTTGTGTGTTGGTTGGTTTTTCTCCCTATCGCCTTTGCTTATAAAGTGCAATGGATAATATGAGCTAGCATAACTCCACAGTGCAGCCAAACCAACACACATTAGCATGTGTAATGATGATTAATTTTGCTAAAACTTGGAGCAATTTATGCAGTACAATTTACAAAAATGTTGGAAAGATCAAAAAATACACTTCCATTTTAAACTTCTTTATTTCTTTCCCTTTTTACTTTGAGCAATTTCAGTAATTTCACTTTCAATGGTGATTAGCCATTGCTTCAGCTTCCATAATTCCCATTGTAATTCTAACTTAAAGGATGTGGTTATTGATATAATTTCATGTCAGTTATATGCAGACATAATTCATATTCAAAATGCCTGGCTCAGTGAGTGCACTAAATGATGGTAGGCCTCTGAGTCTATATGGCATTCCCAAAGTCCAATGAATTTCCCCTCCCAGACTGAATTCCTCTGTAGTTATCAATCAAGAGTAGGGTCTCACTGAGATTTATGGAAATAAAAACCCAAGCAGAATAAAAATATACAAATCTCCTAGAGAGAATTAGAAGTCAGTGCTGTTAGCAATGTACGGTCACTGATTACAAAATCCAGGAAAACAACCTTCCCTTATGACAGGAACAGAATTAAAACGATAGAGGAGATGCAGAGAGGCACATTAATTAGAAACCCACACAGAAAGTAAGCTATTACTCTTTAAAGGGTAATAGAGAGGAGATAAACAACGCTATCATACATTCTGTTATCTAGCAGTCTTCTGGCTTATTCTGTTGAAATAATAAGATCCAGAATCAGTACTTAACATGCATTAAACAAGAGAAAAAACATGAATAAAATATCAGTACAGAGAACTATTAACAAAAAAGTCAGGATTGAAAAAAAAGTGTTATCAAGAGAAGGTACTGATTGTAGTTATTTCTTCCCTTTTAAACATCTGTAAAGGTTGTTTTTATAAGCTTGACAAATCTTCTCTAAACTAGAAGCATCAGTAGAATAATTGTATAAATTTTTACTTACCAAGTAGCTTTTTTGTGCCAAGAATGTCGTACTGAAAACAACACTTTGTTTACCACTAATATTAGTGCAAAGCAGTTTAGTAAGGATGTTGTCTGCCCACCTCCAGACCCATTATTGGCTCAGAAAACTCCTCCATCCCTTTCTTTCCTCAATTGTATGTTTTTAGCACTAGTACCTACTGAAAGCATACCTAAATTTTAAAGCAGCAGTAAATAATGAAGATTCCCGTACTTTAAACAAATCCTGCATAAATCAACCTATAAAAAGAGGAATTAAATATGAAAGAGAAAAGGTGGGAAAACCGTTTCCTTAAGCATCCAAGATGAAAGAATTACTGAGGCTGAGTTGGTGTCAAGCTAATTGGTGGTCGTGTATTCCACATGCATATAAAAAAGCTTTTCTGTCAGACTGGGAAATTAGTAAAGAAATATCTAGGTACTTTTTAAAAAAATAATGTTCTTTAAAACATGTGTATAAAATACTTGAATTTATAATTAAAGAAATGACAGAAGAGGGTTCAAAGAACCTGCTACAAAATGTATTAAAGCACAAACAGGCAAAATTTATGAGAAGATAGAAGTAATTGGAAACCTGCCAGAATCTTTCAGAGTTCTGTTCACATTTTTATGAAACGATTCATATTCTGTAATAGGATGCCTTATTGTTGAAAACACACAACAATTTTGTGGGAAATAGCTTTCAGACTACTTAGGCATTCTAAAAAATAAGCTACCTAAAACAGAGTTCAGAAATGCAAAACTTTTAATTTAATTATCTTTCATGAAACCTTTCAGCATGGTATCCCCATCTCACCAAATAAACAATTCTGGCAATAGTTAATAACCCCACTAGTCAATTAACTGTTGAGTCAGAATTAATTTAAAAAATAAACAAATATAACAACAGATTGATGACTAAATTTGCCTACATTGCATTTTTTTTTAGTAAAGAATTAATGAAAGACAGAATGAAGTATTACCATACCTGACAGAAATAACAGTAATCATGCACCATCAGAATTATAGTAACTAGACCAGAGTTAATTCTCATAGTATGAAAATGGATTTTGCAATACCAATTAGTCTTTCAGAGTTTTTTTTTCCCCCCTCTTTTTGCTCAGGATTAAAGTTCAGGTTGAAAAAAGATGACTTCCACTTGGGAAATTTTAAAATTATTCTAGAAAACTGGTGTTAAGAAACTAACAAATTTATGTTAATTGAAAAATCAATATATATTTCCAAATTGATTATTCATGTTTAGTAAAGTAAATAATCTTGGTTTTATAAATGAGTCCTATTAAGAACTAGTACATATGCCTATTTAAAGTAATTTTTATTATGTAAGCATCTTATTTAGAGCTATTTTTATTAGGTAATTATTTGATATGGTACAGACTTTCAAATTGCCTTGCCATACTTTGTGCAATCATGGGTCCCTGTGTAATAGATAATGCCTATACTGATGTATAAACCTTTATTAAAGGCATGTTAGGTAACTAATCATTTTTACCTAGACATGAAATACAGATAACCTTTCACATGTACAAATAACCTTCAAAAGTCATAAACTCAAGTGTGCTGAACTTGCAAGTCCATCAGCACTCGCAAACTCTTATTCTGGAAGACAGGAAAACAAATACTGTAACTTGGTGAAGCCTAAACTTCATCGGAAGTTTTATGCTTATGAAGTAATAGTTTATAGAAGTTACATGATTTAAGCAAACTGACCTCAACCAAACAGCTTTTGTAAAGCACAAAAAGGCAGGGGAGCGTCTCTTCCCAGAGGGCTGGAAACTCTTTCTGTGCTGCTGGGTGGTGCAGCAGTAGAGCTCACAAAACCACTCCCAGGCAGCTGACAGTGGGACTGTCAAAAGCTTCAACTAAATCTGAGAAGTTTCTTCACGGGCCATATTTGGTCTGAGCAGGACAAACTGTTTTTGTCAGATATAGGTTTCCCTTTTCTCATCACTATTCATCTACCCTCCGACTGAGAACAGAGAGACTGAAACAACATTCACCAAAGGGTTGCTAATGAATTTGGAGTATCAAAGTCGCATGAAGTTTGAAATAATTCCAGCATGACATTGAAGTGTTAGATTATAATGAATTTGTTATGTGTGTTTCAGTTGTTTCAGGAACCCAACATTAAAAAAAAAGTTATTCTTAAAAAAATCAGCACATTTAGAAAGCCTCAAAAATTAAATGCTTTTGATCTTAAAAAAATTTATAACCTGCATGAGTAGAACATATCAAAGAAACTCCCCAACATTAACTACTGATGAATGTATTCACAGAAATTTGGAAATCCTGTATCGATAACAGTATTTGCAGCATTAAGACATGGTAAATGTCTTAATGCTGCAAATACTGTTTTTTCTTTTCCCAGCAAGTCCAACCTAACTATAGTGCAAGTCCAACCTAACTATAGTTTAATTTCAGAATTACTTCCAAATATTGTTAAAGCACTGGTTCTGGAATGTATAATGTTCGTATAATGCATTTGTATAATAAAATATTTTCAAAGTAAACAATAAAGAAAAATCAGTACTCTTTCAATTATCAATTCTGAATCTATACTCGAACTGTCAAAGTGCCGTCTCGTCACCCATCTGTAGGAAATTCACAAAACTACTATTCACATTTTTAATATTCATTTGGTTATACTATAATGGCATATACTTCTGTGCGCAGCACGTCAGAATATTTTTCAGTGAGTTTCACAAAGGTTGTGAGTGCCATCAGGCTGGACTGAACTTTCTGAGACATTCATTTTTTAAATAAGCTTGAGGCCCAGAGCTGTACTACATCACTATCTGGAATACATGGACAATTGTTTTAAGTGTAAAAAAACCCCTGAACATAAAGTTGAGAAAGTACTAGGATGAGAAAGAAATACTGTCAGTTTAAATGAAGATATAATAAGAGTCTCCAAACTTGAGCAGTAGGATGGAAGGCAGGGTTTCAATCCCACAGTGACATGCTACTTGCTGTCTGCGGTGCTGTGGGTGCAGCTCTGGCAGGGAACTCAAGTTACTAAAACAAGTTATTATAAAAGGAGAATAAGTAGTATGGTGACAAAGATCTAAGTGAAAGATGACCCAAGTGAAAAGCTCTGTTTTTTAATTTCCTACCTAGAATAAATTTACTTTTATTTTGATAAAATTATCTACACATTTTAGAAAGGTACACATTTGTTTGAATTGCAGTTGTATTATAAGATGGTCCCCACCTATGATTAATTCCTTCTTGTTCTACTTGCAGATCAAGTGGTGTCATATTTATCACTATAGAGATTATTATTTAATTTTACTATAATGAATATTCTCAGTATAAACCAATATACAATATCTGCAAAAAATCAAAAAAGCTAGAAAAATGTGATCTTTCATTAGTTGAAAATACATTATTGATGAATAATTGTTTGGAGCTGGTACAGTTTTTCTTTTAAGTAAATAGAAATTTCATGTTACTGTTTTCCAGAATATATTTCTGCATTCAAACAGAATTCTTTCTTTCTATCAAGCTAAAGCAGAGAGACTGTGCAACATAAAAGGTCGCAAAGAAAATGTGTCTGCAAATGTATGTTCTCAAAGGGAGCAATAGCAGATGCTAACTGACCAAAAAACCCCATTAAAACAAACAAACAAAAAAACAGACAACCTGATTTTACACTGTAGTGGACAAAAAGGAGAGAGAGGAAGGGAAACTAAAGGAAAATAAGCAACATTTGCCAATATTTAAAGAAACAAATTCACTACATGTAAAACTGATGGGACATACAGTTTGTGGTGTACCTGCAAGCTCTTATAACCAGACTGACTTTTACAGCTGATACAGTTCCTGGCAATTTTTTTTTTTTTTTGTGCTTTTATGTAAGGCTCTGCATTTAATCCTCACTGCA